TAGTGGTTGTAACAGTCTACACTCCTACCAACAGTGAAGAAGGACTTCTTTTTTCCCACAGCCTCTCCAGTATTTGTTATTGGTTGATTTTTGATTACAGCCATTCTTTCCGGAGTGAAGTGGAATCTCAGTATTGTTTTAATTTGCATTTCTTGAATGATGAATGATGCTGAACATTTTTTCATATACTTATTTGCTGTTTGTACTTTTTCAATTGAGAAGTGCGTATTCATTTCAGAAGTCCATTTTTGAAGTGGGTCTTTAAATTTGGGGGAGGGCTCTGATTTTTTTTTTGAGTGCTTTATATATTCTTGATAGTAGTCCTTTGAGGAGAAACTGGTAAAATTTTTTACCCATTGTGTGTGTTGTCTCTTCACTCTGTTGATGGTTTATTTTGTTGTATAAAATCTTTTTAATAAAATGAAGTCCCAGGGTACAAGGAGCAGGGGGCGTGCCAGGGAGAGAACAAGTCAGTGTCTCCTGTGAGCCAGCTTATACTGACCTGGGGCCAGAGGTCTGAGCACCTCTTGGGAGGATGACTATGCAATATAGCAAATATGGGGGATTTCCTTCTATCTTATCTTTGAAGGCAAATATTATTTTCACTGTTTTGCTTTGTTCTGATTAATTGTTTTGCTCTATTCAATATTCTGTTTTGACTGGTTTTATAATGTTCTGGTTTTGGTTTGATTTTGCTATACCTGATTGAATGGACAACTATTGTAAAGATTACAAGCTATACTATAGTACCTATAACTGTGCTCTGAAGTTCTGTACCAGTTTCACTGCATTGTCTTGATTGCCTTTGTTCTGTCTTGTTCTGTTGTATTTTACTATGTTCAAAAATAAATAAAGTAAAATGAGATCGCAGTTGCTGATCCTTTGTAATATTTCTTGTGCAACTGACGTTTTGTTTATAAAGTCTTTGCTAAATACCTGTGTCTGGGCTGGGGATTTAGCTCAGCATTGATTAAAGAGGTTATGTTTCTTTCAATGAAGGTGTTTGAGCCATAGATAAGATAGGTGGCTGTGTGTGCTTGAGTTGTTTCTGTGTCTTCTACTCTGTTTCACTTATCCTTGGGTCTTTTTTTTTTTTTAATCACAGTAGCTTTCTTGTATAATTTCAAGTCAGGGATTGTGATACCCTCTGACTTGCCCTCGTTTCCCAGAATTGCTTTTGCTATTCCAGGTATCTTCTGGTTTGATACGAACGTAAGAATTGTAATCTCTAGCTCTATGAGATATGCTATTGGTATTTTGATAGAAACTGCCTTAAATCTGTATATAGTTAAGTACCCAGTTTATACACATTTAGCTGCCGACTTTCACAGAAAAGAATGGACCTCGCATTATGCACATTTATAGATGTAAACAAATCACCGAGGTAGCTCACGTTTACCAGACACTTCACAGTGGTGCTGCTATGCGCTTACTGTACAGTGAGATAGTGCGCAGGAGTACGGTTCAGTCAGAGCTCAGGATGTCAGAAGCAAGAGGAAAAGCAGTGGTGACGTGGAGGGGACTGCTGGGCAGCACAAAGCAATAGCCATGAAGCAAAAGTGAAAAGAATGGAGAGACTGGATCAAGGCGAAAGACGGCAGATGTTGCTCATTCTTATAACACGAAGTGTTCAACCACTGGCACAACTCTAAGGAACAAGGACAAGAGCATGCAACCTGTAAAGTTTTTGTATGCTTTACACAGTATATTTGTGTCAAAGGTGTATGAGACTCGCTTTGTCAGGCCCTTGAATGAATCCAACTTACAAAGGTTCTCCTGGAATAGAACGTGTTAATAAGTCGGGGACTTACTGTAGCAGTTTTGGAAGGATGACGATTTTTAATATGTTGGTTCTGTCTATCTAAGATGGGCTTATGTCCCAGTGAACCCCTTTATGCTAAATCAAAATGCATTTAGTATTCCTCACCCGTAGAGCATCAGTTTAGCTCAGCCTACCTTACACATACTCAGGTCATTTATATTAGCTTGCAGTTGGACAGAATCATCTAACACAGCCTCGTTATAATAAAGTGTCAAATAGTTTTACCACCATGATGTCACAAAGTTGTAAGTTGAACCACCCTAAGCCAGGGGTTCTTTCTACTGTTTTTTTTTTCATTGACCAATGTAGAACTTTTCTGTATATCTTTGATTTTCAGTAGTTTTGCTATGATATTTTAAAATTTTCTTTGCATTTCACTTAATAGCCTTTCTTGAATCTGTTTATGTCTTTCCCTAAAAGTTCTGAAAGGCCTGAGCTGTCCTTTTGTCGAGTGTTGCTGTCATCCCACCCTCAATCCCCTCCCCCAGGATTAAGGTGGTGAGTGCAGCACCCATCGGAGGGCAGGCAGCCAGCACACAGTGTGAAGGATGGAGAGTCTGGTCCCCTCGGCTCATTGCTTTGCTACCTTCTGGCCCCATGAACTACTTCTCCCTTATGACCTTTGCTGTCTTTTGCCTCCATGAATTGCTGCCCCTGTGCAACACATTGGCTGCCTTGGAGTCAGCCAATCATGGACTGAAACCTCTATAGACTGTGAGCTAAATATCCTTTCCTCCTCTCACCTTGGGTGTCAGGTATTTTGTCTCAGCAATGAGAAAAATAACTCAGACACCCACCCTTTCTTTCTTTTCTTTTGCTCTTTTTCTTGAAAATTGAATTCCAGGTGTATATAGTTATGTCTCTAGCCCTTTTTAGAATTTTATTTTGAGACAGGGTCTTGCTAAGTTGCCCAGACTGAACTTGATTCTCTGCCTCAGCCTCCCAAGTAGCTGGGATTATAGGAGTGTGCCTGTAATCCAAATTTTTTGTTTTACTATTTCATGCTTTCCTCCAAACACTGTTTTCTTTTTTTTTTCCTTTTTTTTTAATTTAAAGAAAAGGAAACGAAAAAAAAAAAAAATACATGGAGATAAAAAAAGGGTAGAAATAATACAAAATTACAGACAAACAAAAGGTAAGAAATTGCTGGTTGATAAGTTACAAATTGTCATCTTCGAAATAGCTGTTCAGGTTATAGAATTAAAGTATTTAGAATGACATTCAAAAAAGTGACCCTACAAACCATTCTGCTCTATGATCGAACAAAAGCTCCGTAATATGATTATCAGTCCTACACATTTGTTTTACATCTCAAAGAGGGTAAGGTTAACCATATCAAAACAGAACAGAACATTTAAAAAAAAATAAAAAACAATTTAAAGAAATACAGATTTCAAAGCAAGTCCACTGGAGATCTTCATTATCTAACCGTCTCTAGCTTCTTACCCAAACACTGTTTTCTAGCTTCATCATTTTACTAATCATCTCTCTAAATTTGCCTAAAGTGCTGTTATTTCCCTTTTACTGAGATTTTTTTTATTCAATTACTATACTGACTTATTCAGCTGTAGAATGTCCATTTAGTTTTTTTTTTTTTTTTTTTTTTTTAGTTTCTAGGAGTTTTTCCTCAAAACACAAATTTTCCAGAGTCAGTGCCTTTTTTGGGCTTCGGAGATGAGAACAAGAAGCCAGCCACTATCTGCGAGGTCACAGCCGATAACAATAAGGAGCTACCCACAGAAGAACGGTGTTGGCTGGTCCTAGAAGGAGGAGATGGTTGAGAAGATGGTCCCGAAATTTGTGCCTAGAAGGTGGATGGAAGATGAAAGAGGGAGTCCAGGGTCTCTTCCATCCAACCCCCCACTTGTTTTTGTTTTTTTGAGACAGGGTCTTGCCATGCAGTGCAGGCTGGCCTTGAGCTCACTTTGTACCACAGGCTGGTCTCACACTTGCAATGATCCTCCTGCCTCAGCCTTCCAAGTGCTGGGATTACAGGTGTGAACCACTGGGCCCAGCTTGTAATATTTTCTTCCCTGGGTCTACATCCTCCCTGAGATCCCTTGTTTTTTTTGTTTGTTTGTTTTTTTGTTTTTTGTGTGTGTGTTTGTGTGTGTGTGTTTTGTATTATCTTTAGTGAGAGAATTTGTCTGAATTGTCTAATTTTTCCCTTTCAGAAGTAAAGTCCTTGTCATTAGAAATGATGGAAGTTAAAAAAAAAATGGTAACCCAAAACTGCATTTGTGATATGGGATATGATAAGTCTAATTTAACGAAATTTGAGGAATCCTAACAACACAACATGAATAAAAGTGTAAGTCACAAAGCACAGTACAACTCCATTTTATAGAAATACATGCATACATATGTAATAAAAGTATAAAATATACCTAAATTTGAGACACATCAACTTTTTTAATGCATCAGGAGAAATGATATTTTATTAGCACATGTTTGTAGTACATAACGTCTACATTTATTCTGGGGAGTTGGTACATGGACATAATATATCTCAGTTCTTTTCATTGTCCCTTTCCCTGTCCTCCTTGCCTTCTTCCTCTATCTCTAGATCCCATTCCCACTTACAAAAGACCTATCTTCTTATCTTCAATCATCTGTCTCTTATTTCACTCTTTAATTTATAGTAGGATTTTCATGTAAGAGAATCTATGTGATATTTAAGCTTGTGTGTCTGATTTATTTACCTGACATTATGGTCTCATGGTGCATCTATCTTTCTACAAATGATGCAGATTTGTTCTTCTTTATGGCAGAGTGGTACTTCAATGTATATAAATACCTCATTTTCTTTATTCATCTGCTGATGGGCTATTTCCAAGATTTTAGCTGTTATTAGTTGTGCTGTGATAAACATGGACGTGAGTGAAACACATCAACTTTGGGCTAGTGGTACCTCCAGGAAGTAGATTGGGAAAGAAATGAAAAGCTGTTATTCATGTAAATGTCCGAAATTTTTTCCTTAAAAGCATATATTACATCTGTGTGGTGAGTGCATGGATATCAATTCCACTAAGTTTTGCATTTTTATGTTTTAAATATTTCGTTAAAAATGCAGTATCTATTAGAAAAGAAAGCCTCGCAGCACATCAGTCAGTCACAATTGGACTACATGTTGTATTCAATTTTAAAGTTTGAAGAACTGTTTTAAACCGTCACTCACGAGTCTGGCGATCTCCGGGTTGCTCAGCGCAAGGCCCCAAATGCAGAGCTCCTTCCCCGCGGTGTAATGCTCCTCTCGGATAGTCACGAGCAGAGGTTCCAAGGAAACAGGCGTGTGGCCTGGTGGAGACTCATCAGGCCTTAGGAGTGTGAACTGGAGAGTGAAAAACGACAGATGGACATCATTAACGCCTCAGGCTGTACTGGAAGAACATTTAAAACAGTTACAGACTGTGGATCAGATGAGCCCTGGGGTGGGACCCCAGCCCCAACCTCTGAAGTTCCTGCTATGCACAAACTCATGGGACTTTGGGACTGAGGTTTGTTCAGAAAGTTACTACTTGTGGGCTGGGGATATAGCTCAGTGGCACAGCACCTGTCTGGCAAGTGAGAGGTTGTGAGTTTGATTCCCAGTACAAAGCCAAAAATTACTACTTGCTATTGGGTAAAAAACAAACAACAAAAAACCCCAAACAACTTAGAGTGAAACCAGCCTTTTCTTTTTTCTTCTTTAATGAAATAGAAAAGGGGAGATTCTCTAAGTACATCATATAGAACAAGGATAATAATGCTTTTCTCATGAGACTTTCATTCTAATGATATTCAAACTAAAAGTGGGGATCCCCTCAGATGACTCACCCAACATGAACAGGTCATGTGGTTGTATTGAGACACACTGGCCCTTACATAGTGGGCTGTGGTGTTAATTGCATTTCTGATGGCGATTGTAGTAAAAACAAGTTTGGACTAATTTGAACAAGATTTATGATTCAGCTTTAAGATTAATTAGTGGAGGCTAATTATAAAAACTGACAGAACAATTAATTGATGACTCCCCACTCCCAAGACACATTCAGGAAACATACGGTGGGATGAGAGTGACTCAAAATTCACTTCAGAGCAATGTTTTCCTTCTTTAAAGCACCATCTCTAGTAATTTTGTTTAATTTAGTGTTAGCACTCACATTCAGGAATTCAACTGATATCTGATTATGGGAACACAGACTGCTTTCCTGAGCTGGTGACAAAGAAGTTGTGAGGTTGGTCCATGGTCTTAGGGTTCTAGGCTCCCCCTTCTACTCCTTCATGTGCCCCCTTCCTAAGAGTTGTTTGCTTTGTTTCAGAGCTGGTTCCCCCTTTGTACCCAAACTCTAGATTTAATGTCAGAATAGAGATGACATCAGCAGTTTTTCTGAAAACCAGGGGTTTGGGAGCCAACCCAACTCTCAGGGGTTTGGGAGTGTTTGTTGATCTCTCCCCACATGATGTGGGCTTCATGGTGGGTATGGGGGCACATCAAAGATCAGGGGATAAAGACATTCACTTGGAGGGTGTTATGGTTTGTGTCTGGGTATCCCTCCAAAGTCTCATGCAGCTGAGTCTTGGAGGCAGCTGAGTCAGTGTTTGTGATTGGTTTGTTGTCTAGGACTGAGATTGGCAGTGTGAATGCTGCACCCACCCAAGCGTAAGTAGCTGGGTCACAATACAAGGGAGGAAAGGAGCTGTGTTTTTCCTCCTTTTATCCTGTTCACTCTTGTTGCTTACAGCTGCCATGAATGGTTGCCCCTGTGCCATGTGCCACCCTGCCTTGGAGCCCAGCTGAGTATGGACTGAAACCTCCAAAAACTGTAAGCTAAATAAACCTTTCCAGCCTTCAATGGGTGTCAGGGATTTTGTCTCAGCAGTGAGAAAAGTAACCAAAACAGAGGGTCAGAGCCCAGGTGGTTGGATGCAGTGATGACAGAACTGGTACCTCAGAGCTGGGCCTTCCAGATGTGGGACATAACAGGGCTGGGCCTTCCAGATGAGGACCGGTATGGGAAAGGACAGGCTGACAGAGTTGTGAGTGGGAGGCAGGAGACCTGCTCAGCAGGCCCTAGTGCTCAGTGAGCAGGGCTTTGAGCTTAACTTCACTGGGTCAAGAATGCAGAGGCAGTGACACAGCCAGCTTTGGGGGAGGGGACTGAGGACCTGTGCTCCTGGAAAGCCAGCCAGGTCAGCCGGTATTGAGAAAATTAAGGAAAGATGCCGTCCACTCACCCTCCTGAGACTCTGCTCGCTGGTGATGCTGCTTTTCAGGTCCCTCCAGATGGCTGGACACACGGATGTCCTGGAGTGTGCACAGTGCTTCTCATAGGTTTTCAGGAACTTTTGAAGACTCACAACGACGGGCGGAGGAGTCCCTTTAGCTTTTCCTTTTCCTTCCTTTACTCTTGGCATTGTTTTTGGATGTCAGGTTCTGAAAACAGTGTGACTGGCCCTGAAATCCAACACATGAACGTCTTTTTAAGGCACAGAATTTACTTCTCCCTTCTTTGAAGATTTTTTTTTTATTTAAAGAGAAAGAAACAAAAAAAAACCATGGAGATTAAAAAAGGGTAGAAATAATACAGAATTACAGAAAAATAAATGGTAAGAAATCACTAGTTGATAAGTTACATATTGTCATCTTAGAAATAGATGTTCAGGAAGATCTTAACGTGCTTTGTTTATGTTAAGTGGGACAGAAGTCAGGATGGAGATACGTAACCTGTGCACAGTGCCTGGACTCCCAGCACCTGGGCTGCTGTGGCAAAAAACCCCACACATTCCATCCCAGTCTGGGCAACTTAGCAACTTAGAAAGACCTGTCTCTCCTGTGTCTCAGAATAAAGAGGAAAACATTTATGAAGGGGTGGTGATATATCCCAATGAGAAAGCCCTGGGTTCAATTCCCAGTTTAAAAAAAAAAAAAAAAAACCCAAAAAACCAAAGGACTTGTTCAACTGAATTTCCATGAACCTGAGGGTCCATATGGATTTCGTTAGTCTTTAAAATGGGCTAGTCCCCAGGGACAGTTATAAGAGAATGCAGGGGTTGGGGATTTAGCTCAGCAGCATAAGCGCCTGCCTTGCAAGCAGGCAGTTGTGAGTTCGATCCCTGGTACTGATAAAAAGGAAAAAGACCAAAAAAAAAAAAAAAAAAAAAAAAAAAAGAGAATGCAACTGACATTAAAACTTGATACTGAACATGACCCCTGGGACACATTGATTTAAAATGGCATAAATTCTCTTCACTAATACAATTCTTGCTAGGCAGCATATATTTCATAGGATAGTCATTGTGGGCATCAGACCTGGATTTTAGTCTTGTCTGTATCATTGACTTAGTCGGTTGGTTTTAGGTTAGTTGCAAAGCTATCACTTTGTATAAACACTTTGCAAAAAACACTCTGCACTATTCTCAATAAACTTTACATTGACATTATTATTATTATTGTGTTAGTCATGGAAAGCCACCCAAATAGTACCAATTTTATCTCTCAAAAGAGCCAGTGTTAAAATGGGTGTTAGATAATGGTGTTCTGCCAAAACTGCCTTCACAGAGACCAAGGTTTATGGGAAATTAGTTTTCCCATATAGAAAATTTGCAGCTGGAGTATATTCAAAAATGTTTATTGCCTTCCATCAAAAAGGGCTCTTCTTTTCAAGTTGAGGCCTAATGGAGCACTAGAAGGAGACAGGCCTGTGGAGGAAAGGCTGGCTGGCTGTGGTGGTGTAATTCTAGCACTCAGGAGGCTGAAGCAGCAGAATTGCTGAGTTGAAGCTGGACTTCATAGTAAGATCCTATACAGATAGACAGATAGCAGCCTGGCTTTGTAAACTCACGTCCCCATGCTTCAGCATGCCCTCTTTCCACCCAGCAGAGAGCAATGTTTTTGAACTATGTTAGCTCCTGTGACTCTTCTGATTAAATCTCTTCAATGACTTCTTGTAACATTTACCTTTATTGAATTGTATATGCTCATTCTATCAGTTATCAAGGGATATAAATGAACGTGAACCTGTTACATTTGTTATTCATCCATTTTGCAAATTTTGCTTTATATATTTTGAAACTATGTCATTAGGTGCCTATCATTTACAATTGAAACTTCTCCTGGGAGATTCACCATTTTGTTATTATTTAATACAGTGGACCCTGATTTAGGAACTCAATTCATTTTTGAGGACTAGTTGTAACCCAAGTTGGTTCTAAGTCATGATGGCTTTTTCCCATAAGATATAATGAAAATAACCACAATGCATTCTGAATCTCCTAAAGCACCCCTTAACTAACCTTTCCACCATAAAAAGGACTGCATAATGTATGTGATTTACCAGAAACATCAATAATTTTCCTAGTGTATTCACCAAAAAGTTATAAAAACTGTTTAATTTACCAGAAACAATTTTGTACTATACTCACCATTCAAGTTGACATCTTTGCTTGCAGGAAGGGAAGGTGGATCGGAAGGTGGTTATTTGCAAGAAGAGCCCCCTTCCATAAGAACGTCAGTAGTCTGGGCTGGGATTGATGCTTATGTACACTTACATATGCTTTTCTGGCATTAAGAGTCTTTGTTTACAACCACACAAGCACCGGCACAAGATCTAACTCAAGACTTTGATCATAAGTTGAACCTAAAGTTCCAGTTGAAACCCAAGTTGTTTTTATGTGAGGCTGGTCATAACTCAGAGCCCACTGATCCCTTTTTATCTCTGGCTGTGCTTTGTGACTTACCACCACAGTTCCCCAACTGCCACAAACTTCCACACACTGTGAGAAAGCCGGCAACATCTGTTAGATGCCATGTGAAGTAGAGCCAAAGTGGTTCACAGTTCCAGAGTAGATCACATATGTATTAGCATCAAAATATCTTATCATGAGTGAAAAACACCCTGAAAGGGGAGTGGACCTAACAAAATGTAGAGACACTCAGGAACCAGGGTTAGGGGAAAATCACAGTATTACAGCTCTGGTTAATGAGTTGAAGCTGGACTTCATAGTAAGATCCTATACAGATAGATAGCAGCCTTTGTAAACTTACATCCCCATGCTTCAGCATGGCCTCTTTCCACCCAGCAGAGAGCAATGTTCTGGTTAATGACCGAAGAGTATTGGCCAAACCATGCGGGGAGGGGAGATTTATTCTGCCTCTCCTGCACTCCCACCATCACCCAAGCATAACCTCAGGCTTCTGCGTTTCAGACAGCAGCTACAGAGCCACTAGTCAGGATAGCTACCTGACACCAGTTTTCCATCTCAGGCCTGACAAACCTTTAAAAACAATTAATTAATTAATTAATTAATTAATATTCTTTGAGACATGGTCTTACCACGTCATTTGAGCTGGCCTTGAATTCACTATATAGCACAGGCTTGTCTCAAACTCACAGCAATCCTCTTGCTTCAACAGATGCATGCTATCACATCCAGTTTTAATTTCTATTTTTATTAGTAGATGTTTGCAGTACGTAATGATTACATTCATTGTGGGGAGCTGGTGTGGGTATAGAACATATTGTTTTTGGAGCCTTTCTAAATTTTGTTGACACTGAAATAAAAAATAGGTTGAGCATAAATCTCCCCAAAAGCCATTTTTTAAAAACTTAAGAATATATCAGAAAACATAGCTATAAAATCTAACCTTTCTTCCTAGCCTCCCTGGTGGAGGCTTACTGCCTTACTTAAAGCAATTTAAATTTCTCCACATTTCCAGGTTTTAATTTAGCCAATATTGGGCACAAACGAGTGTCAAGTAGTTCACAGCAATGAGCATAACACTCCCCAAGACTGGGGTGGGGGGCTATGCAGAGAGGCACTGGGCTGGAGCACTGCATTCCATTGGGTAATGAAGTTTGGGGAGAAGGCAAATAGGAACAATAAAACCAAATGCCAGTTACCTTAAGAATGGATTGTATGAGCTATACTGACAGGTAACATTAGTAATTACTGAAAGCTCCTTACATTAAATCTCTGGCAAAATATCCTATTATAACACAGTATATGATTCTCCGGTTATGAGGGTAGTAAGGGACATGAGGCCAGGATAATCCTGCCCCAAGACTGGTATCTTCTGTGTTAGCAAGAAAGGTAGAAATCAGCACTGAGTTAGATATCACTAGAATATTTAATAGTGGTAGAAAGAAAAAGAGCATATACCAGGTGGAAAGGAGAAGGAAGAGGTTACTCCTGGATTGAGGGCAAAGCAAGGGTTGCAAAGGGACCAGGCCAGAATCCCCAGCAGCTCTGTGCTATGTAGGTTGTGGAACCACATAGTTAGTGACAAGACCTAGGTTAGAGGTTTGTGAGACACAGGCCAGGCACCACTTTGGAGAAGAAGGAACTACTGGGCCCCTGAGAGGGTTAAGTAAACTGTAGGATCAGAGGCCTGGCTTCTTTACCATGTGTACTTTCTCCTGTCTACTCCCTAATTGAGCCTACTTGCATCAAGATCTAGGGCTCACCATACTGAGGTCAAGCAGCTGTGAAGCAGGAGCTGTGGCTCAACTAATTCTGAAGGGGTATGTGTCCCAGATTGGTAGGAAAAATACTGACATAAGGTATGAACACTCACTTTGGCAAGAGCTGTATAGGGCTGGCTGAGTTTTGGGTTTTCATTCCTACTGTTCTAGCTGGAGGGAATTTAGGGATTGGAGGGAAGGGGCAGGGGCAGGTCCAGAGAAGAACTAGGGACCTGGAATAATACCACTTCCCAAACAGTTGACTTGACTTAAACTTAGGCTTCCAAAAGACATTGGGGCAGGGTCTTTTACCCATTCTTGTCTGAACGAAAAGGCCAGTGGCCTTGTAGAATGTGAAGCGTCTTGAAGGCACTGTCTTTTGATCCTACTCCAAGGAGAAACGGAATTCCTGAGCTCAGAGAGACATATTAGAACTGAGTTTGTAACAGCCCAGATCTGGGAGGTAGAAACAATAATGACTCTATTTTCTTTATGCTCCAAGCATTAGAAAACTTTAAAAGGAATGGGCTCTGGGAGGCCAAATTCTGGGTCACTTGACCCTATCAGGGCCTGATCTCTGTTTTTAAACTCTGTAATCCAATTCCGAAAAAAAAAAAAAAATCACATGACGCAGAAGAGGAAGGCAATGGTGGACAGGAGAGCAGGGACAGTGTTGACGTACTCTACACTTAACTCTCACTGGGCAACGGTTAAGTGTGGAGGTTTTTGCCAATCACAAGGCAAGTGCATCTGAGCTGCGGAAGTGGTCTATTCTAGCAAACTCGATTAAATGGGTTGGAAAGGGGGAAAGGGGTCTCACTGGCACCACAGTGGGCCATTTTTCTGCCCAAAGAATTGAGCAGGGCTGACGGGCTAGTTTGGTCTCACCGCTGCACTGAATTTTGGCCTGACTGCAGAACTGCTTAGTTAGTGCTCCAGCACACTGTGAGTTAGACAAAGGTATGGGGAGAATGAGGAGGGGGAAGGGAGAGGTCCCTAGATCCCATGATTACGTGGACTCAAACTTGTCAGCGCAGCTTGGTGTTGCCCTGCCAGATCTGAGGCAGGGTGCTGTATTTCTCAGCCCAGTGGTGTATTTTCAGCGACGATCATGTCTCTGCAGTCTTCTTGGTCTCATCACCGGCATCGGTAGCTCCGAAGTGAGGGCCTCAGGTGCTCCTGCCCTCACTCATTCTCTGCCGCAGTGATACGTTCTTCCTCACTGTGGTCCTTGGCCAGAGCATCAGCCTGCAGGTCACTGCTGGCCTCTGCCCCATCCTCATCTTGTTCATCCTGCTCATTCTCTGCAGGCTGTGCCACATGAGGTGTACTCGTGGCCATCTTCAACACAGCACGGGTCTTCTCCAAGTCTTCCTGCACCATCTGTGCCTTCTGTTGTCACCCCACAGCCTCACTCTCCTGTCAGGTCATCTCTAGCTGGGAGAGCCAAGCTGTCAGCTGTGCCATTTCTGAAGCCAGTTGTTCTGGGGTCTTCTGCTGGTCCCGGGAGGCCTGCAGCGAAGCCTCCTTGGCCTTGTCAGCTTCTTGACGCTCCTTGGCCAGCTCTTCAGCCTCACTCTGGGCATGCTTTCATTCCTGCTCAAGTTCCAGGGCCCTGTGTGCCTGTTCTTTGGTTCTTGTTGGACTTTTTCAGTGTGTCCCTCAATTTGCTTCAGCTTCTCCATTTCTTTCTCTCAGCCTTCTTCTTTTCTGACACCTCACACTGCTTCTCATTTTGCAGCAGGGCATGCTCCATCTGCTTCCAGTGCTTCTCCTCCCGGGCCTGGGCCTTCATCTGCTGCACGTCAATGGTGTCAGGCTTACAGCAGCACATGTATAGCTCATGGATCCCCGTGTACAGAGCTAAGATCCGCTTGTTAATCCTCAGCCGAGGAGCATAAAAGACAAAGTCCAGGGCTTTTTGTCAATAGGTTTGATGACAAATTTCTTGTCATTGAAAGGGATGCTCTGATTTCATTCCAGGGGAAGCCAATCTTGGGAGTCAGTTTGTCATTCTCTCATAGATGTTGAGGTCTAGGCACCCACCCCTAGCCACAACTCCGAGTCTTTCTTGTTCTTGATGCTGAAGTAGTTCACACTACCCATCTCCAGGCCTTGAGCAATCTTCAGATATTGCAGGAGAGCATCTTCTCTGGGCATACCTTGGTGTTCTTCATGTCAGACTTGAGCCCACTCCTCCCACTGATACTTGGACTTCAGGACTCCTTGGGGCAGCCACTTGTCTCCAGCCAGATAGCCAGACTTAAGCACCTCCTTGCTGAAGTCACCATACTTGGACTGGACAGCATAAGAGGCCAACAGTGGAGCAGTTTCAAGTGGGCAGTAAATGTCATCATTGAGAATACATTCCTTCACTTGCAGAAAGAACAGGCACTGGGTGATAGCTTGGATTTAGATACATTTTCAGGGTAGAACTTGTCCCAGAATATAAAGAGCAGTGGGCCTTCCTTTCCCACATCCTGTGCAGTCATCTTCTTCCTGAGTTTCAGCCAAATGGAGAAACTCTTGGTGTCATGGTACTGCAGACCAAAGAACCAAACTTTCCTCGAGCCAGTAGTTTTCACCATCTGATCCAACAGCCCTTGCCGGTGGTGTTGGGCTGAGTAGCAGACTCTAGTTCTGCATCCATGGTGGTCACACGCGCAATGATTGTCTTGGGCTTGGTGGCAGCAAAGAAAATGGAACTGACAGAGTTTGGATGGAAGCTATGGAGCAGAGTTGAGAACACAGGATATAGGTTTGAGCTCTAGGGGTTGGGGGTCAGCGTCAGATTGAGTTTCTCTCCAGTATCTGAGCTACTGCTCTGATGCTGTCCACAGCTTCTATATAACATATGCTGACCCCTTTTTTCATCCCCTTCCCCTTCCTCATCCTCCATCTCTTGGTTCTCTTCCCTTGTTTTTTTCTTTGATACTGGGAATTGAACTGAAGACCTCACACTTGACAGGCAGGCGCTGGCTGCTGAGCTGTATCCCCAGCCCTTGGTTCTCTTCCCTTTTGCAAAAGACCTACCTCCCAGTTCCCTCTTGTGTATCTTTTATTTGCTATTTAATGTATTTGTATTTCAGGTTTCTCATGTAAGAGAAACTCATGTGATAAGCTTGTGTGAGGTCCAGAAAGAAAAAGGAGTAGGTCCCAGCTGAGAACAGAACTAGGTCTCCTGACTGCTAAGGCTTTTTTTTTTTTACTGTTGGAGATGGAACCCAGGCTTCACACGTGGCTCTATCACAAGGCTTTGGGTGATATTCCCAGTTGATTCTTAACATTTGACAATTGGCATGGCACTGCAGATGGCAGTACTGTTACAGGCAGCTGAGTCATAGAAATATAGGCAGTCAGTCAAAACTAGGCCCTGGAAGGAGCCGGTGCAGAAGCCCAGATATCTTGCAGCTGTGAGGGATACAGATACCTCAGCTGTGGCGGGACCACAAGACAAAACATAAAACAAATGCATGCATATCCTAAGGATAAACATCAGGAATTGATATGTTAGATAGATCTCTGTCACCCTGAGAAAGTCACTAACCCAATCCCCTACCAGAAGACCCATTGCTCTATAAGCACGCCCACTTGCTACATTTCTCGCTTCCCATTTGTCTACAATTTAATCAATTTGACCTGAGCAATTGATCTTATCAGTTGGCCATAGTTCTGTTCCATCTCATTGTGGTTTTGTTCTATAAAAGCCCCTAGAAAAGACAGTCTTCGGCAACTCCTTCTGTCTCTCTCTCTCTCAGATAGAAGCTTTCTTTCTCTCAATAAACACATCCTGCTCTTAACCTCCATTGTTTGTAAAAATCATTCTTTGATTTTAGAGAACATGAACTAGATTTTAGAAAGCATGAACCAGACTTCCAGTAGGCTGGGAATTTCTTTCCCCTGTATCAGTACATGGTGGAGAGACAGTTGCCTGGGCTTTGGTCAGAAAGGCATGCTTCAATCCTGTGTGCACTGATAGATGACTGGACGTGGACAACCAGCCTCACTTCTCCAATCCCACTTCCTTTATCTATAAAACCAGGAGAAGGGGGCTTCTCCGTGCCCCCTTCCCACCCTAATCCCTGAGAGGAAGTCGCAGAACAAAGCCTAGCTTGCTGGCATCTCAGACTTCCAGCCTCCAGAACTGTGAGAAATACACTTCTGTTTTTTACACTAGCCAGTCTATGACATTGTGTTATGCCAGCCCAACAAAATTAGACCGGATATATATTAGAACTCTATTGCTACCAGGAGTTATTGGAGTTTTCCAGCTGGAAAGTTTCGGTCAGACTGCCCAAAATGTTTATTACCTTACATTAAAACGGGCTTTTTTGGGATCTATCACAAAGAAACTGGGAAGAGACAGGATTGTTGAGAAAAGCAAATATCACAAGGAACCTGACTCTGACAAGTAGAAATAGACAGCCACTGCTTGCATGAAGGAGCATCTCCCACCAGCCTTCTCTATTTACAAATGCACGAACTACACACAGATTCAGTAATGGGGCTATCAAGACAAGGTAATATACTATCAAAGACTTTTATGTCATTTCTGCATAGAGGAAACGCTATGGCCAGGGTTACAAATGCAGGTGCTATAAGGTGGCACTGAAGGTGGGATCCTAAGTGAAAGTTACAGAAGGTAAAGTGGAGGCTGGGCCAGGCTGTACTCATGTCACCCGAAGGTGGTCCCCGGTCCTTCCCCAGAGTCCTAGAGACTGTAGGGGTGCAGGCTGGGGGGTGAGCATGGCCGGGCAGGCCCTGCCCTCTGTCCTAAGGAGAGGTTTAACCTGGCTCTGAGTTCCCTACCTGCCCATCTTGGACAGCTGCTGGCTCCGCCTCGGAGTTGTCAGGGGCTGGTGAAGGCGGCAGGGAAAGAGGCTCCCAAGGCATGCAGTGACTTTAATGCACTTCCCAGAAAATCCCAGCTACCCACCTGCGCTGCGGTGTCCCGTCCCCTGTCCCCTGGAAAGGAGGGAGGTGGTCTCAGGAGGGAGTGGGGACGCGCTGCCTCCAGTTTAGCTTTGCCCTGGACGCTCAGTCCCTAGCCCGGTGCTTCCCGCGTCGTCGGGCGCCATGGAGACGGCAGCCAGGGGCGGTCCGGGGAGGACTAGGACCCGGGTGGCGGGAGAGCGCGTGCAGGAGCCGGGACCGCGCGGAGCAAGTCCTGGTGTACTCCCTGCGGGGCAAGCGCTGCGAGGGGCGCGGCCTGGAGGGAGACCAAGGTCGGGGAAGGAGGCCTGGAGTCCTTGGCCGTGAGTGGGGGTCACGGAAGCCTCAGTCCAGTTCCGTACCGCGCAGCGGCCGCAGCACCGAGCACCAGCGCGCAGCACCGAGCACCAGCGCGCAGCACCGAGCACCAGCGCGCAGCACCCTGCACCAGCGCGCACGGGAACAGAGTTATGAAGGATGCGTGCCCTCAGGTCCCCCTCAGGCCTGGCTCGCCCCTAGCGGGGCTGCAAGGTTCGGCTGCTCTTTCCCTGCCTGCCGTCAGCGCCCTCCGTTACCTCGGCCTCTTCCCTGCTTGGAGGGACCTGCAGCTCTTTTCTCAGGGTTCGCGTATTGAACATCGCTAGTTCAGCCTTGGTGAGACAAGGCCAGAAAAGGCTTGTGAGCGAGGAAAACTGAGGGAAGGGTGACAGGAGCTAGCGGGTGATCCCCGCACCCGGATCACAGGTTCAAGAACAGCCTGGGCAACTTAGTGACTTAGCAAGCTATTTCTCAAAATAGAAAATACAAAGAGACGGAGATGGAGCTTAGTGTGAGGGCTCTGGGCTCAAACAAGGAAACAAAACAAAACAAAAACAAAACTGGGACTCCGAACAGATGTTTAGAGAACAAAGACAAATAGTCTAGAAGTTCAGAGTCCAAGGGACAAAAACAGAATGAAGGTCTTATTCATCAAGTAAGCCAGTTAATTAGAACATCCAAGTTCAGGTTATTTATTTATTTATTTATTTATTTATTTATGGTGATGGGGATCAAACCCAGGACCTCAAGCATAGTAGGCAAGCACTCTACCCCGACCCACACCCCCAGCCTCAAATTCAAATTATTATTTCAAATTAATTAATTTATTTTTGCTTCTCCAGCACCCTTCGTTTTGCTGTTTTCTGAGCCTCTCAATGCCTTTTAAAAAAATTCTCTAAATTAAATTCTCTCTGTTTGAAAAACCTGGAGGGTTCACCATCAGTGTTTCTGAAAGCACTGAGTTTCAATCTAAGGAAACTTAATGCTTACGTTTAATTTTGTCTCTGTTTACACTTGAGATGGGCATTGTGGGTGCACCTCTGATTCCAGCGCTCTGGTAGGCTGAGGCTGTCAGAGCACAAGTTCAAGCCCAGCGGGGGTAGTTTAGTGGCTTCATGAGACCCCTTCTCAACATTGTAGAAAGGTTGAGTTGCAGCTCAGTGTGAAAGCTCTAAGCTCAATCTCTAATACCTTGAACAAACAAACAAATAAATGAATTTGTTAAGATGACTTCCAGTAACAGATCATTTTAACGTCATCCATTTTTCTGTGTTTTGGGTTTTATTAAAAAAAAACAAAAAAACAAAAACAAACAAAAAAAAAAACAACTCCGGGGCCACGCCAAACCTCTAAGGTACCCTGTGGGTGGGAGCACACAGAGCAGAAGCCTAGAGTCTGGCTCAGGCCTTTGGGATCTGTGCTTGAAGGCGGCCCCTGGGTGGGCCTGCGGTGGTCTGAGTGCTCTGGTTACTCCCTCCAGGTTCAGGCCAGCTTCACGCCTTTGTCCTCACACTTCCGGCTTCACCTGAGTGAGTGCCTGACCTCTCCCCTGAAGTCACTGCTGGTTGCCATGTCCTCCGTCCTGGGTGGGATGCCACAGGCCAAGTCCAGCTGCACTCCACCCAAGGCAGAAAAACAAGCACTGAGTGTGAGGCAGTGGAATTTGCCTACAAAAGTAGTAGTGAGTTTTAAAGAATGCTGACACTCAGTGAGGCTGTGTTGTGGAGGCTGGGGTGAGAAGGGGCTCTCACCACGTGTAGGCTGCACTAAATAAACCTTTCCCCCTTCACTGTGGGTGTCAGGTATTTTGTCTCAGCAATGAGAGAAGTAATGAAGACAGTAACTGAAGTGTAATGTTATGGGATATTTCCATATGATAGAACAGACACATGTGTGTATACAGTAGAATATATGTAAAGCATACAAGGCATACAAAATAATAAATACTAATAGTAACGCTAATACAAATGTCTGGGTAACCAACATTTGCAGATATATGAACCTGGGAAGCCGTCTTTTGTGTCCTTCCTTTTGTGACCCCTATTGAGATGATCCTTCTCCCAAATTGGGTATTTGTCACTCCCTGATTCCTTCATATGTTTACAGCTTATGTACAGTCTTATGTATAAAACTTTACATTTTAGAAGAGTTTCTGTTGGGGGCCAAGGATTTAGCTCAGTGACAAATGCCTGCCTGGCAAGCACGAGGTTGTAAGTTTGATCCCTGGTACAAAAAAAAAGTTTCTGTTACTCCCAGTTCTTTAGGGTTTACAATTTTGCCATTGGTGCATGGAAAACAGCCTTTTGTTGTAATTTTAATTTGTACTGTGACACCTGTTTGACTTCTCAACTTCACGATGACAAAAGAGTCTAAGCATAGTTTAATGTGTCATTGTTTTTCAGCAAAAAATCCATTTCTGGGGGCTGGGGATTTAGCTCAGAAGCATAAGCACCTGCCTTGCAAGCACGCAGTCATGAGTTTGATCCCTCGTACAGATAAAAAAAAAAAATCCATTTCTGTCTCTATTCATTTTGTCATAGAGTTTTTGTCTCTCTCTTGATTTGTAACAATTATTTATATTTTTTGGATACAAGTTTTAGTGAGTTATAGGCATTGTGAATATTTGCTCCTAGGTTGTGGCTTATCTTTTTTCTCTTTTCTTCAGGTAAACTCAACTTCCTTTTTTATTTTTATTTTAAAGGGGGTAAAATTAGGGGCTGGGGATTTAGTTCAGTGGCATAAGCACCTGCCTTGCAAGCAGGCAGTCGTGAGTTTGATCCCTGATACCAATAAAAAGGAAAAAGACAAAAAAAAAAAAAAAAAAAAGAGGGGGGGGGTAAAATTAACCCCCTTTAACACAACATAAATAGGACATAAGAAAGCAATGTAAGAGATATAAATTTCAAAGCTACACAACATGAGATCTTCACTATCATATTGTCTCTTGTTTTCTTCCAAATAGTTGTCCATGTCTTCATACACAGAGAATTCATACAAAACAACATAGTATAAAACTGATCCAAACAGAATGAGGAAGGCATTTTAGGTCTTCAAAACCAGACAATAGGGAAGTCACTAATGGTTGTCTCGTTCTCTTCAAAATATCTGACCATACTTTCATGTATATTAAGTTCAACAAAACAAAACAGGCAGAAGGGAAGGGTTGCTTGGTCTCCTGATGCTCCTGATCCCAGTGTGATGAAGGTCCCAGTAAGTGTCAGTGGCTCCTATCCTGGGCTGCCAGAGCCTGCCACGCTCACAACTGCTCACATGGCGGGGGTGGGGGTGGAGGGGTGGGAGGTGCACTTCAAGTTGTTTCTTTCTAATGAACTGACCATTTCACTGCCCAAGTTTTGAAATGGCCAACAGATCATGGAAAGACATCTCTTTAGGCCCCTGCTTGAAACCAACAGCATCAGGAAGCTGCTGGCCTTGATTCAGGGTCAGAACTTCCTAATTTTACTGTGGTTTAATTTATCGGAAATTATCTTTTTATAGGACATTTTTGTGTCTCACTTAGGAAATCCTATTCCCCAAAACAAAGATGGCATGGACATGCAGGGATACTATTGTTAGACAAGAGAAGAAGAAGAAGGGGTATTAGAGAGGGTAATGGGGGAATGAATATTGCCAAGATACATTTTATGCATAGATGAGAGTTTAAGTAACAAAAAGAGTTTAAGAGACAGAAATACTAATTACCCTGAACTTACTACTGCACACTGCATGCGTGTACCACATTATCACACTGAACTACATATATTCACACAATTAAAATAATAATTTGGCAAAGAGATTGTTTTACCCACAGTCTTAAATATATTTCTGTATATATTAAAAGTGTTAACATGTTTCATTTTCACACTGACTGCTTCAGTCTCTCAAGAAAGCAATTGATCTGGGGGCATTGCTCAGTGGTTGAACACTTACCTACTCTGCATGATGCTTGGGTTCCATTTCTAGCATCTAGCATTACACACACACACACACACACACACACACACACACACACACACACACGAAAGCAATCAATAAAGAATGTGAGCACCAATAGTATGGACATGGAAACATCTAAAAGTTCTTGAACATTCACTGCAAAGTCTGTCCTTTCCTTGCTGATCTGATATTCACCTAGGGTTTACATATGGGTCACTTACGTACGTGTGACTCTTTGTCTATGGGCTTCTATTTCTGGTTGTTATGATTTGTATCTAAGTATCCCACCAAAGCCTCATGTGGTCATAGGTCTTTTTCAGAGGTGGCTCAGTCTAGAGTGTGTGATGATTCTAATGCAATGCTGGGATTAAGGGTGGGTGATTGCTGGATCAGTCCACTGGTTGGACTGGTACCACCCTCACCCTGGTAGATTGGTTACTATATAAGGAATAGAAAGAAACTTGTCTTATGCTATTGTTGTTTTTGGTGTCCTCAAGAACTGCTGCCCTTCTGCCACACGCCACCCTGCCTCAGAGCCAGCTGATCATGAACTGAAACCTCTACAAACTGTGAGCTAAATAAACCTCTCCCCCTTTAACTTTGGGCATCAGGTATTTTGTCTCAGCAATGAGAGAAAAGTAATTAAGACACTGGTCTCTTGGTATATTTTTCTTAGGCCCATAGTTCTCTGTTTAAATTATCATGACTTGATAGCAAATCGTATTTCCTGCCAGGACACACTCTTCCCACATTCAGGAGGATTTGACTATCTTGGCCTTTGTTTTTTCACATACATTTTCATATTAGTTGTGCAAATTTCATTGAAAGCTCAGTTAGGATTTTGACTGGCTCTGCACTGAATCTAAATTTCAGTTTGGGAATAATTAATGCTTTTTGACATTGAATCTTCCTGTCAATAAACATCCACTTAGGT